TGCACTTTGATATATTTTTTTAATTTTTATTTACTTATGATAGGCACACAGTGAGAGCGAGAGAGAGGCAGAGACACAGGCAGAGGGAGAAGCAGGCTCCATGCACCGGGAGCCCGACGTGGGACTCGATCCCGGGTCTCCAGGATCAGGCCCTGGGCCAAAGGCAGGCGCCAAACCACTGCGCCACCCAGGGATCCCTCACTATGCACTTTGATAGAAGGTTTGCAAAGTGTAGATAAATGGCTACTGACGTAGGAGGCACACATTCCTAGGAAAGGAACATCCTCAAGTTTACATTAAGGGATATTAATGGATATTTAATAGTAAGTTATAAATCAAATAACTAACTATAGTATAGTATAGTTATAAATCAAATAACTCTGGAAAAAAACATTTATAATAATGACATTTCTCCCTATATTTGTTTTCTTTCCTTTCTTAATTTATTTATACACACCTTATCTTATTCCACAACACATTTTTGTATGGGAAATTATAAATCCAGGGATAAGATTCATGCATAGAAATGCATGCCTTATGTGCTACATGGTTGCTAAAAGTGGATTCACATTTTCGCTGACTATGCCATAAGGCTCATTGAATGAAAGGAGCTATTTTATCAATAAATAATGATCCATTTACAAACCCTTCTCCACCTATAGTAGCTATTTTTATGATCAGTTATTCATAAAATTTGCTATTAATTATTCTTACATTATACAGAATGATAGGAATAGCTGAAAACATAAATATATACAAAAGTGTTCACATTACTTAGCCATGCTATAGTTAAAACTTCTGGATGCTGCCTTCTTTTTTTAAGATTTTATTTATTTGAGAGAGACAGAGTGTAGAGTGAGAGACAGCATAAGTGGGAGGTGGGGAGAGGCAGAGGGAGAGGGAGAAGCAGACTCCCCACTGAGCAGGGAGCCCAGTGGAGTGCTTGATCCCAGGAGCCTGGGATCATGACCTGAGCCCAAGACAGACGCTTAACCCACTGAGCCACCCAGTCACCCCCATGGATGCTGCCTTCTTATAAATCAATATTTGGGAGTCCCTAGTTAATTCCCCACTCTACTGACCAGACCAGTGTTGGAAGGGGTATACGGAAATGGGAACACTTACCCATTACTGTTGGGCATGTAAATTGTTACAAGCACACTAGAGTTCAATTCTCCAATGATCTCCAGTGATAGCAATTTTTTAGTATTTGCTTAGTACTTGGTAAATTCTGCAATGATGCTTAGTAAAAATGAGAATCTTCATACTCCATAAGCCAGCATTTTCATTTCTGGATATTTACCTTCAAAAGACCACAATACATGTGCATAATAACCATTGCCTTATATAATAGAAACAATTTAAATACTCATTAGAAGGACAATGGGCAAAGTGTAATAAAATAAAATATAATAAAATGTATATGCATTATATCCATAAAATATAATAATAGGGAGCCGCTAAAAGCAAATGTAACATTATGAATTATAATGAATTTTAGAAAACACAATTTCAAGTGAATAAAATGTGTTTTGGAATTACACTTCAAAAATATTAATATAAATCAATAAAAACAAATAATTCCCTCTCATTCCATATAAATGTATATATATGATTATATATGTATACAGATATGTATATGTTTATATGTGTATATATTTAATTTTTAGGAACACATAATTTTATGGTAAAACCAAAATAACCATGAAATATTCCTGAAGCTAGTTATTCTCAATGCTTGGTCCTTGGTCCTGCCCTAGACACATTGTCTTATACCTTATTCCATTTTCCACCCTTTCCCCAGCAGATGCTGTCTGAAACATAATGCTGTTTTGATCATAACAGGGAGCTTATCTGCCACTAGACAGATTTAAATAATTTGCAGTCTCTCCTTTTGTTACTAAGAGACCCTATTTTGGTGAGCCTCTTCAGACATGAGAATTTGAGTCCAGTATCTAACTATTAAATATTTAATTTGATTCTAAGGGAAAGTTTTAAACGAGGATGTAATATTGAATAAACCTCTTCAGGGAAAAGTTCTAAACAAGGATGTGGATATTGAATAAACAGATCTTCGGGAAGAGCTGTGATATGTCTCCTGCAGAAAGGCCATGGGTAGAGGGTAATTGTAGTGAAATTATGATGCAGGCTTTTTTTTCCTTTTTTTTTAGGGGGGGGGGGCTGGATCTGAAGTTGGTGGTGGTTAAAGAGGCCCTTCTTTTAGAAGGGACAAGGACAATCAAGACATAACATCCTGAGAAAATAAGCATGCCCAAGCAACAGAGCTGCAGAGCAGAGGCTCAGGAGAGGGTTGTACCCTCTGCAGGGGGAGGCCCATTGACTTATTTTCTAATATTTATTTTTAAGTCTCTTTTTCTGTACTGATCCCACTGTGTTTTCGAGCCCTGGGTTGTGGATGTTGGACACACCCACCTTGTACCAGCTATATTTCACAGCATCACGCCAGTGGACAGAAAGGTGCAGCCTGATGGCAAAAGGAAACTGATATTGATGCTGATTGAAACAGCCCAGAGTTTCATAGCACACAGAGAGTGGATGTGAGAGTTCTGAGGGCTGAAAGGAGGTCCAGGTGCTTTCACTGAGGCAGCAGGTGCAAGGAAAGGGGGGAGGGGGATTGAGGGCAACTTGCAGCTGGAGTTGAAATGACTGACAGCAGCAACGTCAGCAGGAGAGGAGGCGAAGCCAGCTCTTGGAGCAACACCACTTGGCTGTAGGAGCACTCAGCAATAGGACACTTGAATCTCCCACGGGTCCATCAGGACAGTTTGTGAGCCTCTCTTTGAGAAAGGCTGGGAAACGGAAAGGGATGGAGGGAAGGGGAAACCTCAGGTTGGTATTTGCTAAGCCTTTGAAAAGAAAAAGCAATATTAGTACTGTCTTTGGGAGGACAGAGGGAGAAAGTTTAAAGAAAGAATTGGGCAGTTCCTACACTACACCAAGTTAGATGGCCTGGAAGTTCTCCCTTACAGGTTAAATATTGAAAGAATCCATTAGTCAGTCATATGGCCATATCCACATAGACGGATGATTGGCCTGCCAAAATACATGTTTTTTTTTTTAAGATTTTATTTATTCATGAGAGCCACAGAGAGAGAGGCAGAGACATAGGCAGAGGGAGAAGCAGCCTCCCTGTGGGGAGCCTGATGTGGGATTTGATTCCAGGACCCTGGGATCACGACCTGAGCCAAAGGCACTCAACCACTGAGCCACCCAGGTGTCCCCCCAAATACACAATTAACTCAAAATTGGTGCTCTGTGGAAAGTCAAAATCAACAGGTCCATTATGACCATATTTTAAAATATCAGGTTTGGAACACCTGGGTGGTTCAGCGGTTGTCTGCCTTTGGCTCAGGCCGTGACCCTGGGGTCCTGGGAGAGTCCCATATTGGGCTCCCTGCATGGAGCCGGCTTCTCCCTCTGCCTATGTCTCTGCCTCTCTCTGTGTCTCTCATGAATAAATAAATAAAATCTTTAAAAAATGAAATATCAGGTTTGATAGTATTAATAACAATTTAGCTCCTTCGGAATAAAGTTTTTTCAAATGCCCAAGACAAATGCTAAGAAATCCAGGAAACATATAATTTAGTTAAAAATGTTAATCATATTGGGGGCCTGCATGGCTCAGTCAGTTAAGCCTCCAACCCTTGATTTTGGCTCAGGTCCTCAGGGTCTTGAGATCGATCCCCTTGTCAGCTCTGTGCTCAGCAGGGAATCTGCTTGAGAATTTTCCCTCTCTCCTTCTCCCTCTGTCTCTCCCCTTCCACCCCCTTGAACACACACACACGCTCAATTGCTCTCGCATTCTCTCTCTCTCTCTAAATAAGTAAATATTTTTTTAAAAAATGCTAGTCATATTTATTCACCTTTTCTGCAAATGACATCAGCTAATGGTAGTTCTTCAACCCCAAATATTTCAAAACAAAAGCAACAATAAAAAGAAATATCTCTTTGCCAAATAAGAACATAAACTTTTGACTATCAACAACAACCTGTGAGGCTGACTTTATAATTTTTCATTATGCTCTATGGCTTATTAGGCCACTTAACTATTTTTAGAAGATAGACAATGTTGCTTATAATGCAGTATATCTTGCAAGTTCAACCTTTGCAAATCATGCCATCCAGGGCAATTGACTTGGGGAGCGAAATCTCCATGGTCACCTGGTCACCTGCATTTAGAAAGATGAGCTATCTAGTCAAGGTGACAGTGCCTTCTCTTCCCCCTCAGTATGCAATGCAGTTAAATATCATCTGTATGATCTCATTAACTTTGCAAGATTATTGAATGTTTGTATTTTCATATGTCTCTGATTCATCAAATTCATTTAAAAACGAAACTATAGATTTATTTGTTACATAAATAGTAAGGAATAATTCTTGCTCCTTTGCTTTTGGGGGAGAGAATGCGAGGAAATCTCAAAAGAAGAATAATATTGAAGTTTGAACATTTTTGCATGGGCACTGGGTGTTATGCTATATGTTGTCAAATCAAACTCCAATAAAAATATATACAAAAAATAAAATAAAATAAATAAAATAAAAATTTTGAACATTTTCAAAATATAAAATATTGTATTTAGAACTGTCAGAAACTTACACAGGACAGAATAATGTATCATAGACTCTGACACAGAAGATCTGAGCATTTCTGATGTAATAGCAAATGCAAAGGTATATATTCCAAGAAATGAAAAAACAATAAGTGAAAACAAGACTCTTAAAATGAGTGTTGCATATTTTCCTTTCCTGTTTTTATTATCTCTAAATTGTTCCTTCAGCTACCAAGAGAGAGGATGCTTTGAGTAGTGTTTACCTTTGGTGATAGCTTCGTCTCCCCCTGTTGTCCAAAGTGATAAAATACATCACTCTGGAAACAGTAAGGCACTCCCTCCCGTTATTTGTAAGCTGACATGAAGTAGACAGACACCTTCTGAAGTTTTGTGCATGCTGTGTTTTCTCTCCTTGCTGCAACAAGAAAAGCCTGTTCTTTTAACCTGGCTGCCTTTGAAGAAGTGACTCAGACATCTTCATGGCCTCTAAAGGTAAGAGTAAATATAGCCAGCTAATAAATTTGTCCTTATTTATGACTAAAAATATTCAGTGGTAGGGATGTTACAATCAGTGAGAGTGATACTTTAAAACCTGTCATTTATCACTTTTTGAATACTGGAATTTTTAACTTCAAGGGACTGTTCCATTAAATTAAAAAAAAACTATATGATTAAATGTAAAAGTTAAGATATAAACAATGTTTTAGTTATCATGAATATAAATATAGTGAATTAATAAGAAAAGCTGCATAGCAGAATTTAGAAGGGCAATATTTAATGCCAAACACAAGGACAGGTTGATATTCCAAGTTTAAAGGGATTTAAAGAAAACTTTTCACGCAGAAGTTAAAAAGTGCTAAAGTATAGCTCAGTCTTTTAAATTTGTTGTTTAAAATGTGTGATACATCCATTTATCATAAAGAATTCAATGTTTTATTGATAAATTTTAATAAATTTAATAGACTAGAAGTAAATATTGCTGAATTACAAAGCAAAAAACTTCCAAAACTTCTTTGATAGTAAATTATATATAAAAAAAGCAAACAGAAAATAAGTAATTTAAGTAAGCAGATTAATTAGGGAGTTTGTGGCGAGGGGAGCTGGGAATTTATCCCTCAAATTTGTGAAACTGCATAAATATCATTAGTACTCTCTGACTTTAAAAAAATTTCTCAGAAGACCAGAGATATGGTTGTTTTTGAAAGTAATGGATTTCAGTCTCACTAAAAACACTTGTGAAATTATATAAAAATGAAATTATAATGTGTTTCATTCCATTATCAGACCAAACCATTAAACTCTAGCCTATAATAAAAAGTTTTAGCATGCAGAATTATGATTAGTATAATTGGTGGAAACCTTTTAACCTAATTACAAATAGGATAATAGAGTCCACCAATTTAAAATATCCTAAATTAATAAGAAACATTCAAAGAAGCATGTAGGCTTATTTGCTTTCTTTATCAAAACACACTTTTGGATGTGATTTAATATGGAACAAAGGAGATAATCTTCATTTTCTTTCTTCAACATTTAATGTACACCAGTCCCTGAGTGTCACAGGCAAAGCTCAAGCCAATTGTAAAATATAGACATGAAACAACAAAATCATGAATTTTAATATATGTGTGCCTCATTTTTACATTTGAAGGCAAACAAAAAAATCTTGACAAGTCTTTTCTTTCATTTAAGACTGACACTAACACTTAATCCAAAACACTTCAACACTTTATAAGAGTTACAGCAACAACTGTAGCCTGTAAGGTAAAGAGTTGCCGAGTATGTGAAATATTTATAAGCTAGTTATACATTTTTAAAAGAGTAGATAGAAATTCAAAGCCAGATAGAAATTCAAAGGAGTTCCTTCTTTATCTGGTGGTCTGAGTCTTTGAAGAAACTTGTGACTGGAAAGCAATAGTAAGATCAAAATATGATTAATCTACCAAAAAGGCAGTGATGTTCAGTAATGATAAAGAGTCACTAAACTTAGAGGCAAAACTTCAGGTGGAAAATTAATACTACTGCAACCTACTCAAATTATTTAGTGACCAAAACATCTGTTAGAGACTCTATTCTATTTAGAGGAAATTAAAATGAAGCTTCCTTTGGAATCAGAAGTCTGATTTGAGAGGCAAGTCAGATTATCATCATTATTTACCTAAAACATTCTTGTAGACCGTTTTCTTCAAATATGTTGCAGGACATTATTCACAACATGATGAAAGTCCTCTGGTCCATGAACTATGTTGATAATTATTATTTTCCCAGGGAATACAGGACAATTGGATATTTCACACATTTTGTCCGCAGTTTAGGCACACAGCACCACTAAACCAAAGGACAGTCTGAATACTGGATGCCATTAGAACTGAAGAAATATTTGTGTGGTCTGGAGTCTCCTGATTTAGTATAAATAAACATAATTTAAGAACAAGTTTGTCAAAAAAAAAAAAGTTGGTCCCAAATTTTAAGTTCAAGAAAGACAGAAGTTTCCAGGATGATCTAAACTGAACAGCAGCTATCTTTAAAATCTGCTCCAATATACTGAAATCTCAGAAAAGAAAGCAAGTGAGGGGCACCTGGGTGGCTCAGTGGTTGAGCATCTGCCTTTGGCTCAGATCGTGATCCTGGGGTTCTGGGATCGAATCCCACATGGGCTCCCTGCAGGGATCCTGCTTCTCCTCTGCCTATGTCTCTGCTTCTCTCTCTGTGTCTCTCATGAATAAATAAATAAAATCAAAAAGAAGAAAGAAAGAAAGAAAGAAAGAAAGAAAGAAAGAAAGAAAGAAAGAAAGAAAGAAAGAAAGAAAGAAAGAAAGAAAGAAATCAAGTGATATCACAATGACGGTACCAAGAGTTTCCAAATGAGACTCCATTCCAACTTTCAACATGATCTGTCCTGTGCCCCAAATGCATCACTGCTTCTGGACCTGCTGTGAGGTCTAAGGACCCAAAGACCTGGGTCTGGAACGTAGAGCCACTCACAAGACACTCAAAAATCTGCACTTTGTAATGGCAAACATAGCTTACAAAAGATAATTAGAGTAATTTGCTAATGTCTCTAATAATAAAATTGACAAGAGAGAATCTAATATTCTTCTGCCGGTTTTTATTAGAAATTGATCCTTATATGTGTTTTAATGGAAAGATAACATGTATAAAATGCATAAAGAACACCAAACTTAAGTTCATGATTTTTAAAATAAGGTTGCACTTGTATAATTACCAACAAAATTACGATATAGAACATTTCCAGCCCCTCATAAAGTTCCCTTTTTGGTCAATAGTGATACACCTTCATACCCAGGATGAACTTCTAGCATAACATTTTATCATTACGAACTAGTTTTCCTTAGATCATAATTTTGCCCCTATCTTTATCTGAAAGTCCATGACAGCAGTGCTTTTGGCACTAAACTGAAGAAAGGATTGTTCTGCGTTATTATTTCTAGTTGATGTTGCTGTATTGGTCATTACCTCCTCTCCCAAATCAGACATGGTCTTACACAGTCTTTCTCCCCAGTTTACTGCCTGAGGTTCCATTCAGGCCACCTTCTCCAGAGCAAGAGGAGTACCTAAGCCTATGTGCTTTTTGCCTGCCCTGATCCGAGAGGTTCAGGATGGGGCCTGTGGGAAGCAAATCGCTATAATATTATTGGTATGGAGCTCTATTTTGTTTATTTTCTAAAGATTTACTTGCTTTTATTAAAAAGAGGGGGGAGAGGGGCAGAGGGAGAGATAAGCAAATTCCCCACCGAGCAGAGTCCAGGCGTGGTGCTTGATCCCAGGACCCTGAGATCATGACCCAAGCTGAAATCAGGAGTCAGCAGCTTAACCACCTGAGCGACTCAGGTGTTCATATATAGAGCTCTATTTTAATGAGATCAAATGACAAGTGTGTTTCCATATGGTCCTAACACAACCATGTCCAAATTTTAAATGTCACAGACCAGTACCAACTTAAACACCTATTGTCATCTATTCCTACAACCTGAAGGTTAAGTAAATAAATGAATCACCTGGCAACTGTTTTTCCTTAACACCACACGTATACACAAACTTAATGAGCCTATAATTACCGCAAATAGTTTATGTCAATGTCCAAAGGACCAATCCTTGGGAGCCATGTATTCCTTCACCAGTTTATTTTATTTTATTTTTTAATCCCTCTCCAAGAACTCATTCAGGCTTTGCTTGAATTCTCTTAAGAGTGGGGAATTTACTATCTCCAAAGGAAACTCAGACCTTTCTTCAAATTTATTTTTTAGAGATTTAAAAGATTCTGAAAAGTACACCCCCACATACACACAACTTACATGAACTCAGGAGAGACCAAGAGACCATTCTAATCTACTATGAATTATGTAGATATCACTCCAACTTTAGTTTATATACAGTGAGAGTACTTATCTAAATCTGTGTGCAGATTTCAATCTGTTATAAAGTTCCTATTGGCAACTGTTTTCCTTGCCCTCCCCATTCATATGTCTTCAGAATAGTGTGAATTATTTGTTTTCATAATGCCCCCTCTAATATTTGAAAATACCTATCACAAAACTTGATCCATACCTATGCTCAATCTAGAACAGCATAGTGTTTTCAAACTAAATGAATGCAAATGTGAGACTCAGATAATTATGGATTAATAAGGATGAGGCATAAAAACTCTGATACTCTTTGAAAAAAATGGTATCTAATGAGGGAGAAATCTAAATGGCAATCATGTGAAAAGAAAAAGGAAAAATAACAGTAGAAAGGCAGTAATTTATATTTTTTTAAAAAGAAGAGTTTTTTTCATGCATTATTACATCTTATGCATGATACTACACACGGTCCAGACTAATGCAGGATAAATAGCAAATCTCTAAATTTTAACCTAACAAATCACTGAAACAGTAACATTTTTACCTGGCAATACAATAGAAAACAGGTGATTCTCTTTAAAAAAAATCAAAGCTAGATATTATAGACTTCTGTAATCACTTTATCTTTTGTAATATTGGGTAAACTACAAAGGGATTCATGCTGTCAAAAATGTTTGGATGCTTTTATACAAAATACTGAGAAATCAAAGCTTCATTAGATATTATACTGCCCTCATGCTCATAGATTAGTTTGAATATTTTCACAGTATATAGAATTAAGCCATGAGTTCAGAGCAGCAGCATTAGGTCATCTGGGAACTTAATGGATATGCAAATTCTCAAGTCTCACCCCTACCCCAACTCCTGAATCAGAAACCCAGGAATCTGTGTTTTAACAAGCCCTCCAGGTGCTTCTGGTATGGCCTGAAGAGTAAGGACCACTGAATTAAACCTAGTCATAGCAGTAGGACTGATAAAAAGAGACAAAATATCCTCAGCAAATACAAGGTACCTTCATAATATTTGAGGAAGGAAGAATATGCCTTGAAACGCATAATTATGACTCACAACTGATGTCTAAGTTTATCCTTTTATGAGTAGAGAATATCTAGTTCCTTTTACTATTTCTTTTCCTTTTGGAGTTTATCATTTTTTAGCTCTTTGAACAGGAGTTTAACTTACCTTCAGAAAATATATTTATGGAATCATTTTTCTTGCCCAATTATCCATCTTCTCACAACTACTACTAGCCATCTTTTGCCTTCCTTATTCTCTGGCTTAGGGTTAAGGGATGGCAATAGGGAAAATGCAGGAGATCATTGACCCTCTGAATTCAGGCGTAACAAATACCGTGAGAAAAACTCAATGAAACGGCCTAAATTTAAATATGGGCTGAGATTTTCATTCTCTTTCAGATGCACAGAACCAAAGAAGTAGAGACTTGCCTGGCTTTCTTCCTGGAGCTCCAGACCCTGACCGCAGCTTTCACATCTCACTTCCCAACCCAGGGAACCAAGTGTGGCAGCCAGCTCTCCCTCTGCCAGGCAGTCTCCCTCCTGGTCTAGAATATTTAAGTCAGGTGTTTTTATCTCTCTATTTCTACACATGCTCGCCCCTTAAAATGAATACAGATTTGGTTTCTTGCTTTTCAACCAAGGTTGAAGGACTTCAGCAAACCACTTATTGAAGTGAGAAAAGCACTGCAAATCATGAAATTATGAAAAAAAATCTCTATTATTTGGAAAGAAACTTGTTCTCTTTTATTCCCACTTCTATTTTCCTTATTTATTTGGCAGAGTATGACACTAAACATTTTTGATGGAGCTGTTTAGCACATTTATCCTCCTTCTGCTCATTGCTCAAGATACAAGCAAATGCATCCTCAAGGAATTGTCTAACATGTCTAGTCACCTACAGCTATTTAATTAAAGGATATTTATTGAGTACTCACTATCATTAAGACATATAACAAGCATAAAACCTAGTCCCTCTAACCCAAACATTCTGCAACTTAATTGGCATGCAAAAAATGTTGACAAACAGTGCAAGGCTATGTACCAAAGCCAGATAAACACACAATTGTAATGTGTGCAGGTGCATAGAGGAGAAAGAGGTTGTTAAGGATCTAAGTACTCAGGAGAGACTTCCGTAATGATCTGAGAATTCAGCGTCTTCAACTGAATCTCAAAAGGTAGCTATAAATTCAAGGGAAAGCAAGGTACCAAGTCAACCTCATTGTCTTTGATACTGTTGCATCTCCAAGCTGATTTGATCTTTTAAGATCATATTGGTATTAGATATAGTCACTGGAGGGTGAGCAGTGATTCAAGCCTTATAACAAATCAATCAAGAAATATTATCATCTGAACCATGTGGCACATAAAGAGCAAATATATATATATATATAAAATACATATACATAACATAGTTGTTGCTTTTGTATTTTATCCTGCAAAAGATTAGAAATACACTAATATTGAGATGTCAGCACATCTGCTGCAATTTGCAGCTTGTTTGGCATTCTTTCAAACTATAAAGTCTATCTCCTTTATCAAAATCAAATCTCTGTGTTAATTCCCTTAAGGTACAAGAGATTTTCTGTTATGCCTGATAGGGTTTAAGCTGCATGCAGCATATGTTCCTGGGAAAATGTTTATAATGGCAGATGCCTTCTCCAGAAACCCACTGGCAGACAAATATACTTCAGAGACTGGCGAGCTCAGGGAGATATGTAAAAGAGCTGGAAAAGCTAACCTACCATCTTCCATCTGCAGAAAGGATCAGCTGTAATAGCTGACTAGAGTTGATTAACTGCTGCAAGCTGTTTGGGAATGTTGTCAGACAAGGTTTTGCCAAGTATAAAAGTGATATACCAGTGCCAGAGGGCTGAGGTTTGATGATCACATATGGTCATCACATATTCTTCTTCCATCCATGAATGATGACACACCCGGAGCCAGATGCTTGACGTGAATACATTTTTTTGTTTTGCATTCCATAAATAGAGATATGAACCGACTGGCTTCAGTTCTAAAATGAAGCCAATTTTCCAGACATATACCTTTGGTAATCTCTTTCAGAAAAATAAAAATATGCCACAAATTTGTGACTCTTTTACTTCAAAGGGAAAGGTAATTTATTCACCATAGACTAAAAGAACACTTGCTTGCTCTAAAGCAGTGTACTTATAGCAGGATAAACGAGCATTTTAAAATGTCTTATACCACAAGTCTGTAGGAGATACACATAAAGTGCATTTTTATGTGTTAATTTTTTCCTAAAAACCATAAGAATTAAATAAAATCATGAACATCTGAAAACAGTACATTCTTCAATAAACAGGAAAATATACAAAATACACAAAATCTTTCTAAATTAAAAAAGTCAGAGTAAAAATTTAAAAATTCATCTATTCTCCTTTAATCAAGTCCATCCAATGACTAATGAAAATCTTGTTCCCATTAACAATTTGAAAATGTTCAGTTATGTAACATGTAAATACAAATATGCATATGTATACATATGTGGATATGTGCATATATTTGCCTGTGCAATATACATATATGGATGAGTGTGCGTATACATTTAGGTTGTTCATGTAGAGCTAAACCTAAGAATAAACTAGATTTTTCTCTCTGGATTAACATGTTCATTATAGTCAATATCATTTTACCCTATTATTGTCAAAGGATAATTATAATTTAGTCACCTAGAGTAAGAGTAGTGAGTTCAAGTCTACAAAGATATATGCATAGATCAAATATATTTTGAAGCACATATATTAAATGGAATCACTGATATCTGTAAACCTGGTAAGTTATACATGAGAATTTATTCTTAAGCTATATATCCAAAGCTGTTATTAGATTTCCATTCTATGGTTTTCATACTTGAGTTCTTTACTTGCCCTAACACCTGATTATATGATCCGATATGTTTAAAGTTTCCAACAATTCCTAGCCCCTCAATTAATAGCAAAGGGTGGAAGGGGCTCCTTTGGACCATAGTTTATAAGTGGCCCAGGACTACTTAATGGAAACTGCAAGAACAAAACAAGACCTTCAAATCCAAGGGGTTTGCCCACAGAGATAGATCAAATCAAATATTATCACAGAGGTTGGGGTGTGTATAAGGGGGAGAGAAAATAGGAAGAAAAGCTACTCAGAAGTTCCACAGTATCACTTTAAGAATTGTTTATTCCAGTTCATAAGATTAGTTTAGCAATGCCAATACAAGAGAGTAGAACCCATGTCAGAATTGGTTGCAGGTAGTCCGATCTGGGTTTAAAATCCCAGCCTGCCCATTGACAAACTCTGAAATCCCCGGCAAACTACTTTATCTCTCTGGGATTGTTTCTTCACAATGTAACGATGTCTACCCTCTGAGTTTTTGGGAGGATTAAATCAAACACTATGTCAAAATATCTGCCCCAGTGACTACCTCATGTCGGCCCCTAATAAACACCTGCTATTGTTAGCAGAGGGTTACAACTTCCCTTTCCAACATGGAGTGGATTTCAATTGACAGTCTCTAAATTTCAAGACTAAAACTTGATCTGTAGCACTAACATTAAGTTCCCAGACCTCCAACCTCAGTCTTGCCCTCATAGTTCTTCTCTGCCCCTAGTTACCACCAAGGGAACCACAGCTAGATAATGACAGATATCCTTTGTGACTTCTCGCTTCTCTTCATCCTCCATTTTCCTCAAAAGAAAACAGAACTAACAATAGGACACGACAAAAGACTGATTCTAATATTTTAAAAATTTCCATTATTGTTGGAATAGGTTTTAGAATATCTTAAATCACTAATTATGGAAAATACTTTCTGTGAACCTTAAAAAAAAAAAAGAAGCCACATGCACTCTCTTACCAATAATAAGATTTAAATAGAGGAGGTGACATTAGTTTTACTGGCATCTCAGGATAAGCAAGGAGAATGTAGGAAATAATGTAACTTCAAATTTTCCAGGTTTGTGATGCCCAATCAATACCCAATATTACTAATATTTCAGTTTGTTACCAGTAAGTTTATTAATGAAGGAGGACTACAGTTAAGGAATTAAGAGGCAAAATAGAAAATGAAGTGTTGGAAAAGACAGTGGTCTTCAAGGTTCATGAATTTACCTTAGTGAAAAAAAAATCATTCTAAGAATATATTTTAATATTTCCTTTAAAAATTTGCATTGTACACTTTTTTAATATAGTCATTTCTTATCTATGGGTACTTTATCTCTATAAATTAACTTCATTTCTAGTGACATAAAGCAAATTTTATCATGTCAGCTATTCTGCTTAAATGGTATTTTGTTGGCATCAGTAGGATTTCTGGCTGTTTTTTTTTTGTCTAGTCCAAAGGAAGCCGTGAGAGAACAATTTGTAGAATAACCTCTCTCAGCTTTAACAAAGACATTTTATCACTGTGAGGACTGAGTTGAGAGTGAAAGAGAAGTTAGGCAGGTTGGAAATGAGAGGCCAGGCATTCAAATCATTGCTTTAAAAAGTGAGTTTTAAAACTTCTTAGGCATTATTATTCAAAGACTGTTTCAAAATCTTCTCCAAGTATTGTTTCTAAGAGTCACTCATTTTTCCCTTTATCACAGAAAGAACACAAAGTTAACCAACAATTCCTATTCTTATTCTGGGCAATTCGGCCTTGGGATTTTCAGGGTTCTTGTAATTTTTTTTTTAAATTTACTTGAATAAAAAATATATCTTTTTCATGAGAAAATGGGTGCCTCAGTGGCTCATTCAGTTAAGCGTCTACCTTAGGCTCCAGTCATGATCCCAGGGTCCTGGAAACGAGCCCCACGTTGGGCTTCCTGTTCCGCAGGGAGCCCACTTTTCCCTATCTTGCCTGATGCTCGGCCTGCTTGTGCTCTCTCTCTCTGTCAAATAAATAAAATACTTTAAAAAAGTAAAAAATAAAATGTGAGTTGTTTTCAACCATTTTCCTGGTAGAGAACATGGAAATCACCAAATTTCATGTGGCAAACAGGTTAACAGTAGTATCTCCAAAGGTTTTCAAACCATGATATAACACTTTTTATTTCCTTTGTCATTCTTTAACAGTTAGACCTGATAATTATACACCAGCAGGTGGAGCTCCTTGGAAGTAAGTATATTATATTCTACACTTAACTAGAACTGTTACAAATATTTTAGGCTTCAGTAATTTTGTTATATTTAAATATCTCATAAAAAATTAAGTGTTGAGGATAAAATTTAAAAGATCAGTAGGTCTACTGTTTAAATAAATGTTGAAAGTAAATTGTTAGTCTGATGTAGATAAACCTGAGAGCATAAAACTCTCCAAGTCTTTGGTAATTTGTTATCAGGAATCTAACATTATTTTTCTCTTACAATAATACAAGATATTTTATCATTTCCATGGTTGTTAATAATTTATTTTCTTAATAATTTCAGAAATGGAAATCAAGGTTGAAACTAAATAACAAAAACTCATTCTACTCCTGAAATTAATATTACACTTCATGTTAACTATCTGGATTTAAATAAAACCTGAAACAAAAACGATAAATAAATAAATAAATAAATAAATAAATAAATAAATAAATAACAAAAATCCGTTGAACAAAATGTGATGTTTTATCATTGCACTAATGATTAATCAGATGGTATGTTATTTGACAAAGATTTACAATGATGACTAACTGAATTCAAATTGCTTGAGTATTTTGTCCTTAATATTCTATATTATATCTAAAATAAGTTGAAATTGTAATAGCAGGATAGCATGCAGCTGTAGGTATACTGCCATATAAATCTTAAAGAAGATCATTACTATGCTGTGAGTTGTCCCAGTAAATTCCACAGCAATGATAGAAGTATTATTTGAGGATTTGATTCTTTACAGACTTGTTTCTTCACTTGGAGAGTGGAACTACATCTATCAAGTAGGTCATATATCTGGAATCAAAATGTACTCATTGTACAGCTTTGTTCTTGGTTGACTTTGATTTCCATAGCTTAGTCTTCAAATTTTAGAGCATGGAAGTAGATTTGGGTGAAAAACATGCCATATACTTAATAATTAGTGACTATTTTCTTTGAATAACACTACCTCTTTACTTAAAGATTTGATACTAGGCAAGAGCATTGTTTTGATGAATTTTTTTCTTCCCTTAGTGATACTTGGCACAGAGACCTCCAACAAATATGAAATTAAAAACAGCTTGGGACAAAGAATTTACTTTGCAGTGGAGGAAAGCATCTGCTTCAATCGTACTTTCTGTTCCACACTGCGATCCTGCACTCTGAAGATCACAGATAACTCAGGTCGGGAGGTGATTACGGTAAACAGGCCCTTGAGATGTAACAGCTGCTGGTGCCCTTGCTACCTGCAAGAGGTTAGTCATTGGGTGTACTTTTATTTTTCTATGTTTGAAAATATTAGCAATAATTTGTTTAATTAATGGCATTGATCTGAAGCCATAAGGCCATTCACTTTTCAATTGTTTGAATTATTAGATTGCTCCTTTAGAATCAGAAAAGCTTAAGGATTTGGTGATTCACTGGTTGTTGTTGTTGTTTTCCTTTCTGACCAAAAGCTACAGTGGCTTCCATGAACAGCTAAAGGGTTGTGTAAATAGGACACATCTCCCTGAATCTCTGTATTAATCATATAATTGTAATATCTATGAATTCCACCATCAAGCACATCTACCCTTTGTGTTTTCTAATAGTAGCGAACATCAGAAAGTGCTAACTAATACTAAACTCTTCCGAGGTGTTCTGTTGGTGAGGTATTATTTTTAGTATAGACTTTCACAACCCATTCATCTTTTTATGACGAACTTCAAACTTTGACAAAGACTATGTTATTGTTCTGAAGGGAGTCATTTAATTATTTTAATGTATGATAGATTTTCATCATTATCTAATAGCTCTACAATAATAACTTTCTATTGGCATAATGCAGTTAAGTCGACATGGAACATTTACTTACTTTAATGTCTTTGATATCATAACATCTCTATGAGTTAGAAAGAATAGGTTTTACTCTCCACATTTAGCAATTGAGGAAACTGGGGCTTAGGGGTTGGAGGTAACTTAAACATCCTTGAACTATCATGAATGGGGCTTGACCCCCTGTCTTTATTCAAAGACATTTTTTAAAAAGAAAAAAAAATTTTCTTTATTGAGGACATACTTAGCAAGTAAGTACTCTACTTAGCACAATGGGAAAAAATATTAATATGGATGGGGTTAATTGAAGAAGTTTCTAGCATTATATACTAAAGCTAATTCTCCATACATCTGTAAGCAATTTCCTAGCTAAGTGATAAAATGGTGAAAGTACTCATATACGGAGTCCCAGAAACTTCATCCTCCTACTGAGGATATGAGATTTAATATGCTCTAAGATGGTATAGTCAGATTAAGATAAAACATCCATTTGAAGGTTTCTGATAATTGATGTTTTATTTCATAGTAGCCCAGTGAAAAATAAGATGTATCCTGATACCCATTACCAATTTTTGTCAAAATCAAACCAATTATTTGAAAAGTGATCCCAGAATAAATCTATATAATTCTTTCTATTTAGGGTTTTTTAAAAATTAATTTAAGTATAATTGACACACTATTTTACATTAGTTTCAGTTCTACAACTTAGTGATTTGACAAGTCAGATCTATATAATTCTAAGCACTCTTGTTGAAACCACCTTTGTTGACCCAAGAATGCTAGAGAGATACACATAAGACTATGAACTTAATAAATTAAAAAAAGATAAAAGGTCAACCGATTATAAGGAGTTGGTTTGGTTTAAAAGCAAACAATTTTCATTATGCTTGCCCACCTCTAGCTTATTTCACAAGGGATTTGGCCGCATAAGTATGTTGAAATACAATATGATGGGAAATAAACACATGGAGAGAATGAAGGGAATGGAGTAAAATACTAAAGTGAAGCCTGAAAATGCAATTGCTAGTCTATAATACTTTGGAAGAAGTGAAACAGAAATGAAATTGGTATGCAAAACAGAACCTGCACAAGAAGCATTTGTTTTTAATTGAACAGAGAAGCTAGAAGTTGACAGCCAGAAGGGAAAAAAATCCTGAATAACTAATCATTGGTAAAGGAGGGATAAAAATAGATGTGTGTTGTGGCAACACAAAAGAGGGAGGAGATTTGAAGTACCTCCTGGGAAACAGCTTCAGTCCTCCACCAACTGCCACACAAAACAAACTGGCAAAGAAGCCAGTGTCCCAGGCTCAGAGAACAATTCTAGGATAGGTTCTCTTTAGGGAAAGAAGATTAAAGACGTGGACTTTGAGTGAGTCATGCCAAATATATATCAAAATAGTGAATTTCTTTGTATAAAACATAAGAAAAAAATCCCCTGCTGTGTTTCCTTGGAAGCAGATATTTAGAATATTTTGTAGAATACAGAAGAATTTCATGAAAGTTACTGTTTAGAAGCAAGTTGACATTGTTGTAAAATGAAAACCCAGTGACCTTAGAAAAATCTTATTTTATTATTATCTCTTCTTACAGTTAGAAATCCAAGCCCCTCCTGGTACAATAGTTGGTTATGTTGCACAGAAGTGGCACCCCTTTCTGCCTAAATTCACGATCCAAAATGCAAACAAAGAAGATATTTTGAAAATTGTTGGTCCTTGTGCAACATGTGGCTGTTTTGGTGATGTGGATTTTGAGGTATGGATGACAGAATGAAGGGTTTTCACTTAGGTCCTGATTTTTCAGTTTTAAAATATTCAAATCATGAAATAACTCTGAAATAAACTTAGAAGATAATATATTTATGAAATAACGTAATAAACCCATATTGTACATGCCAATAACAACTCATAATTTCAGAGATATCAAGTTCAAGAATTCTTTTTAAAAGACATACTGAAATTTTTTTTAAAGATTTTATTTATTTATTCATGGGACACAGAGAGAGAGAGAGAGGCAGAGGGAGAAGTAGGCTCCCTGCAAGGAGCCTGATGTGGGATTCCATCTATCAGATTGACCATTCGCAGGACCCTGGGATCACACCCTGAGGCGAAGGCAGACACTGAACCACTGAGCCACCCAGGCGCCCCTAAAATTTTTGGTTTATATGGAATTACAGCACCCATGGTACAAAGCAAATATAGTTTAGAATCACCCTAAATTATACCTTCTTTCCTATAGCTCTGGTGGTTACATATCTCAGTTCAGATCTCATCTAAGAAGCACAGTCCATTAAAATATCACTAATTTAGAAGCAATGACCAGAAGACTTGCTAATTTCATTTTGTAAAATAAGCTATACCTACATGAACATATTTGTGTAAATTCAATGTTAAAAAGCAACAGGTAGTTGCAAATTCAATTGTAAGAATATAAATTATCTTAACAGCCCTTCCTAGAAATATATTTTAGGCAAAGGAGATCCAATCTAAAGTGTAAATTTGTTATTCATTCCTTCATTCTCTATACATTCATGTATACCCCACCCAGGACATTCGGTTTGAGGGACTTCAGGGAAGACTATTCACCCAGACTACAATGTAAATTTTGCAAAGGAAGCTGTTCTTACTTTGCTCTACTCCAAAATAACTCAGCATGGCTTTCCTAAGACTATAGGATAAGTTCCTGCTGGGTGGAGAGTCTGCTTGTCTCTCCCTCATTCCCTCTGCCCCTTCTCCTATTTGTGTGTGCATGGGTGCGCTCTCACTCTCTCTCTCAAATAGAAAGAAAGAAAGAAAGAAAGAAAGAAAGAAAGAAAGAAAGAAAGAAAGAAAGAAAGAAAGAAAGAAGAAAGAAAAGAAAGAAAGAAAGAAAGAAAGAAAAGAAAGAAAGAAAGAAAGAAAGAAAGAAAGAAGAAAGAAAGAGAAAGGAAGAAAGAAAGAAAAAGAACCTAAAGGATACAAATATGCCTTATGATTGACACTTAAAAGTTTCACTATTGGGGTGCCTGGGTGCCTTAGTCGAGTGTCTGCCTTCAGCTCAGGCCCTGACCCCAGGATGTTGGGATCCAGGCCTGCCTCAGGCTCCCTGCTCAGTGGGTAGTCGACTTCACTCTCTTCCTCTTCCTCTGCCCCTCCCTCTGCTCCTGCTCTGTCTCACTGTCACCCTCTTTCTCTTGAATAAATAAATCTTTAGAAAAAAGAAGTTTTAGTATTTGTGGGAATGAATATCCTAAGTAACTTTCACTATTTTCTATCTTCTCCTGCCATACAGAAAGTGAAAGTTTATCTTGAATCACTGTCAGCCTTTGAATGAGAAACAGGGCAAGCAAAATAGTTGATAAAATGTACTTGTAGATTCCTACTAGCTGAGAAGGACTACAGATTTTTGATGTCAAATTAGTCTGAATTTCCTGGGTGGCACATTTGCCCAGAGGATTTTTTTATTTACTGAAAAATAGGACTTAGGGTTAGTTACAGAGGAATGACCTAATAAATATTTAAGCATTATATAAAAATGAGATTAAGAAATGACTGATAATATTTAAATATTTTAGTAATTATAAAATGTTAGCAATAACAATGAAAAAGTTTACAATGTACCTAGAAATTAATTTCTTCCAAAAATATTTTCTAAAATCTTTATCAAAAAGATTTTCTTTTTCTATTCTTTTCTTTCTTTTTTTTTTCCTACTGAAGAATTAAGGTTTAAAATCTGGACCTCAGGTAATGAAATTACCTTCAAGGTTAGACCATGTAATTGAGACTATGTACCTGCTGCCATCTTGTGGTAGCTGGGCCCTAATTATTTATTGCTATTATAGTCTCAATCTGCATACCAAAGCAAAAAAAATTAACATGGATTAGATACTGTCAGCAAAGCAACATTTCTGAACTCTAAAGTTAAATCTACAAACTTATGCTTATATATAAAGGAAGGAATGACACGGAATTGTCACAGATGATGAATAAAATAATGTGTATCTCTCTTGAAGCAAATATACTAAGCTACATAAAACCATTTGTTTCACCTTCAGATTTGATTGACATCGCTTATTTTCTTTTCACAGGTGAAGACCATTAATGAAAAGCTTACAATTGGGAAGATTTCGAAGTACTGGTCAGGATTTGTAAATGATGTCTTTACCAATGCTGACAACTTTGGAATTCATGTTCCCGCAGATCTAGATGTGACGGTCAAAGCAGCGATGATCGGTGCTTGTTTTCTCTTTGTAAGTCTGGTCTTAAAGAGTATGAGTGATTTGTTTCCCTTTTCTTGTTAATTTTTGTGGTGCCAATCTCATTTTACACAGCACTGCATTTTCTTTTTGTTTTTTTTTCATTTGTTTTTATTGAGGTTCGCTGAGTCTAACACCCAGTGCCATCCCATCAGGTGCCCTCCTCAGTGCCAGTCACCCAGTTACCCCAACTCCCCCGCCCACCTCCCCTTCTGCAACATTTTGTTTGTTTCCCAGAGTTAGGAGTCTCTCATGGTTTGTCTCTCTCTCTAATTTTCCCCACTCAGTTTCCCCTACTTCCCTTAGAGTCCCCTTCACTATTTCTTATCTTCCACGTACAAGTGAACCCATATGATGATTGTCCTTCTCCAAGTGACTTATTTCACTCAGCATAATACCCTCAGTTCCATCCATGTTGAGGCAAATGGTAGGTATCCATCCTTCGGATGGCTGAGTAATACTCCGTTATATATATGTACCACATCTTCTTTATCGATTCATCTGTCGAAGGACATCATGGCTCCTTCCACAGTTTGGCTATTGTGGACATTGCTGCTATGAACATTGGGGTGCAGGTGTCCTGGCATTTCACTACATCTACACAGCACTGCATTTACCCCAAGGAAGTTGATGCAGAGAAGGCTACTTTGGGACCACCAACTCTTCAGAAGCCAGAATTTAGGAGCCGGCAATGCTCTCCACTGGCTCTCATACCTTCTTCCTCAAGAATGGGTGCCCCGTCAACATCCTACTCATCACTTCTTTGAAGCCTTAGTTACCCTTCCCTTTCAATTTCAATTTAGATTTTTGGCTTATTTTTTCTTTCATTAAAAAATCTGTAAATGTCACTTTATCCTGGATAAAGTTAGAATTGTTTCATCATTTAACAATGAACTAAGTAACATTCAGAATGTAGAAAGTACAGTCTTGCCCTTCCAGTATGAACATGGATACATGGATTCACAGGGATGAGTTAACAGGTATCCATTATTACAAAGATATTAAGTCTTTGTCCTTTTTTCCCAACTTATAATTTCATTAGAAATATTTTCTTCTTGGTGTGGAGATTGGTGACAGGAGAACAGAAGTCAAGTAACACCTGTGCCAAATGCTTGGCCGTCTCCTGTTCCTTATTTTTCCTCTAATCTCTACCTCATTGTTTAGCATTGTCAGTGCTTTCACAAAAATTCATGGAATTGTAAAATAACCCTGCATTCTTCCTCTCATATTTTATTGTCCTTCGGAGTTTTAGGATCCTAAATCTTATGGTTCTATCAATGTGTGCTGCTCTCTCTATTTGTTTTTTTCTAAAGACACTTGGGAAGTAGATGAACTAAAAATAATTCCCTAGTGACATTACTGATGGGTACTCAGGGTCTAATACAGAATATTTTTTTCCAGGAATTTAAGTTATTGGTTCCGTATCATTGGTAAGAGGTAGAATTCATATATGTACAGCACTAGGTTTTTATACTTACTAAGCAGTCACCTTTAATTCCCATTTGCATCTATAAATCTAACCAATTCCGGTCAATCTTGCCTATGACCTAATATTTCTTCCATTGCTTACTATCCTCTATCCACTTGATAGAGCTTTTAATTTCCCACTTCCTGCTCGCCTTTCCCATTTTTGATCATTCAGCATTTCAACACCAATCCCTCCAAACATGCACATGAACAAACACACCTAGACACACACACACACACACACACACACAAAAAAAAAAAAAACCTTTCCCCAAAATTTTAATTTAGCCTTTCTGATTAAGCTCCACATTTAGTGTTTATATTAAAAAACAGATCATCTTTAATCCAGCCTACCCACTTATAATCAGTAAAAATTTACTGTAAACAATTCACTGTGTACTATAAATTGGAGAAGCACTGATCCAGATAATACCCCAATCATCTGAATAGGTAACTTTTTAACTCCATTGTCTGAGGGAGAAATATACTCACTGAGAATATCTAATGCTCCCATCTATTTCTTTTTTCCTTTTTTTTTTTTTTGGCCAATATAGCTTTTAAAACAATTTCAACATGCATTACCAAGATAAGTCACTTACTTCTAAATATAATTTGATAGAAAGAATTATGTTTTTATGTTTTAAATGCTGTCTCTATTTTGTTACCTTGTACCGAGAAAGAGACCTTCAGAAAGCTGCTCCCTGATCCAAACAGCAAAATTCACAAACTCTACCTAATGTTGGTTTTCCTCTAGTTTGACCCTACCATTCCACATCCTACATCTCTACCCCTTGTCAGACTCCTGTGATATAGCTTTCAGTACTTCCTGAGATGACTACCTCATTACTAACTACAGAGTCCATGATGATCTATGTAATACTTGTTCAAAAATCAGTGTTTATTACAATGTCCTGCACTGACACAGAATGCCCTGCAATTGAAGTGTGCACTGTCTTGATCACCCAAAGTTTTGACGGATGATACTCTGCTGATTCAGATAAGATTTTCAAGTAACTTGTATTCTGAAAACTAGACATGTAAGTGTCATCAAACTTAAACCTTTTTGATTTTCCTCCTACTGATAAATTGCATGTTGTTGGAACAACCACTGGGCAACATGATTGCTTTATACAATCAAAGCTTCCCTGTGAGACTCCTGATCTTAATTGTCGCATTTTTGTAAATTCACTCATATTCAGTTTATTTATTTGTAGGATTTTATGTTCTTTGAACATTCACTGGCTGGATTATAATAAGCAAGATGACAAAAACAATAAAGTATGCAAGAAACTATTTCAGTAAGTAAAGGAAACTTTAAGTGATCTCTTTCCCTTTGAAGATGTCTATATTTGACGCTGTCTAACTCTTTTTCATTTTTTTCTAGAAATCCCTTGGGCTCCGGATTTCATTTCTAAATGGCTTGCATATTTGCTTTTTTGCTAACAAATGTTAATTATTATATTTATTAAAGCATAATGCAATGAAGCAATTATCTGTTTGTAAATGCGTGATAGCTAAAGACAAGATTACTGGCCCGAGTACAGGGCTGCTTTGAGAGATTGTCATTCTTTCTTTTTAATCCTTTTGAAGTCATTGCATGGGTAAGCATGAAAGATGAGAACTAAGGCTGGCAGCATCACTGATGAAAATTCAATGTTTAGAGAGCACTTTGAAGTTTTTCTGGCACTAAGGCTGGTTACTAATCAAAAGGACTGGATTTCTAAAATATTATTTCATGACTAATCTTTTGACATTGTTCATTAATCTTATTGTAGTGAGATTTTCACTTTATATCAGAAAACCTGGATAAATAATATACTTAAAGATGAGGAGGAAGATAGATGAAATCAATTTGTTCTAGTGGTAAGGAACTAATATTTCCATAAAGAAGCTAATATTTACAAACCAAAGTATGCTGTAAACACAAAGGCACACCAGAGATTTAAGTAAGTATATAAATAGACTTCTAAGTTAGTAAAAGCAGTGGTATAGAGCAGGAACTTTATCTATTTATAGTGAAAGTTCAGTCAAGAAAGGGATCTGGGGCTCTGAAAAATGCACTATTCCAGGACTTAAAAATAAGCAAACAAAAACAAATAAAAACTTAACACATGAGGCAAATACAGAAGTCAGGGCATACGGTCAATTCAATTAATTAATGCCTTATGCTTTAACGTTTTCAGAGTCCCCTAGGTAACTACACCTAGTTATCCACTCATGTCCAAAGCCCACCCGCATAAGAAGAAATTTTCAGAATTCTTTGTTAGGAATGATAATAGTTCTTCCCTTTTCAAAATGAGAAAACAGATTTGTTTTAAACAAAGCACCATGTAACCATTTGGACTCTAATTTAGAATGATACAAATACTATCCACTCATTTCTATCCACTCATAAAGGTGTTCAGAGAAACTCCAGGCAATCGCCTGCTTAGTGATGGAAATGTGTTCCAAGCCTAAGTTAATCATTTGGAATTAGGAACCTCTCATCTAGAAATAACCCTATATATGTCAGTTGAGTTCCCAAGATAGCCCACAAATAGCAATTTAGTCCGGGGTTCTGGGGTCAGGGCTTTAGGTTGTATAAGATGGAAAGGGGGAAAGAAGCACGTTTTCTGAGAGCCCCCTCCATTGGCATGCTTCAGCAAACCATAAAAGATCGACTGGTGGAACAGAATCGTTCAAGCATTGACCACCAAAAAATAACCATGCTTCAAAATCCCACCCAATCTTTCTTCTGGTGGTCCCATCCATTCTTTCAGTGTCACTAGTATGACCTGAGTATTGGAACAATGCAGTCACAGAAGCAAATGGCAGTCCTGCGTGTGACAGACATTGTCTTGAGCCTAGCTCTGCTGTGTGCTAGCCATGCATCAGGAGATCGGTCCTAGAGTCTCAAACTTCTCAGGTCTCCTATGTGTTACTTTGCAGAGCTTGGTGACAGTTGAGGGGACTGCAGTGTTTCCTCTCTTCCCCCCTCATCATTTTAACTAATGTATGTGTGACTTATTCATAACCAGCTAAAGGAAGTGGCATTTTTATAGCTGATGTTTATTAACTAATAAAATGGAGAAAATTAGCTGGCATTTTCTGAGGGCCTATTACATGTCAGGCACCATGCTTCATATGAATTCCCGGTGGGGTAACAAAATGCAGTAAAAACAAAGGAAAATCAGACAGTATGTGGAAGACTGCCTGGCGCCCTGTTTTTTCCCCAAAATTTTCTTCCTAAAGATGAATCTGCTTTTATATATTCTTCTTGTACTTTTGATTTCTAAAGTGAAAGATTTTTGTAATTGAGGTCACAACAACAGCATTTGACACTCTTACCGTGCGGCAAAATGGGAGAAAAATGCTACTTATAAATATTATATTTTAACATGACAAACGTTTGGATTTTAAAAAATATTTAAATGATTCCTAAAACTAGTGAAAAGTTTAAAACCCCTACTTCTAAAAAGAGACTCCCTAAAGATAAAAGGCTTCTTAGGATATAGCCCTTATATCAAAGTTGGCTATATTAAAAAAAAAAAAAAAAAAAAAACCTACCATAACACTTTGCTCCTGAATTGCACACCACAACAAATTAAGGTCATCTTGTCTCCTCTCCCTCATTAAATGTGAAATTGATCTTTACATATCTTCTGTGCTCTGTTTTTTCCTTTTCCTTTCCCACAAACATGAGTCCATGAGAGACTAATAAGACTTGGCTCTTCAGTAAAATTTTCAGGAAAGAGCATGCAGCTCTAGAATGAGGGTCCTCTGTACATCACAGTTTTCTGTTTTACTACCTCCCCTTGGCCCCACTACACTCTCAGAACACAGGCTCCAACCCCATTTATTCTGAGATGTACTGGGAGAGATGTGACCAGCTTCAAATACCTCCCATTCATTCATTCAGTTAATAAATATATGCTGACTCCCTCCTATATGCCAAAAATATGGTACCCCTGCCTTTGGTGGAGCTTATGGTTCAAAAAGACTTATTAATCCAATAATGGGACACACAAAGGTTAGATGTCAAACCTAAGTATTTATAGGAGATAGACAAGGTACTAAGTACAGCAGAGGTATTTGGCTTGGTCAGGTTGTGAGGGAGTGATGGTACCATTAACATGTGAAGAATAAGTGGAGCAGAAGGAAGAATGTGTTTGGCTGAGGTGTTAACATTTGAAAAAGTTCTGTGATGGGGCAGGAGAAGGACATGACAATATCATATGACTTGAAGAAGGCCAGTGACTAAAGTTTAGATAGTGAGGGGGAATATGGTACAAGAGGAGGATGAAAAGGGCCAGTACGCCATGTTAAAGATTCGAGACTCTGTCTCATCAGTATCTGATGAACGTTCTTAAGAGTTAATTGGTTAAAGATTAGATTGGGAAGAGTGCAGGAAAGGATGCTCATGGACCAATTAGTAGGTGACAGCTATTGGTAGCTTGGACATGTGGCACTCGTGTAAAGGGAGAGAAGTGAGCAGAAATATATTTAGGGAGTAAAATGACCATTACTTGATACTGGGTTGAAATTGAAGATTAGAGGAGGAAAAGGGATTTCTGGCTTTTGCCGTTTACTGACAGAGAGAAATTTAGAAGAGGATCTGGTTTGGGGATAAAGATCCTGGATTCAGTTTTAAACATAGTGTTTTTGTCATTCCTTTAAGTTTTCCAAAAGGATACGTTGAATAGGCAGGTGGGCATCTTTTCAGCTAGTGTATTTTTGAAGAAAGAGATGAATATATAAGACCTATGTATGTGAGGACGCCTGGGTGGCTCAGTAGTTGAGCATCTGCCTTTGGCTCAGGGCATGAGCCCTGGGGTCCAGGATCGAGTCATGCATCGGGCTCCTTGCAAGGAGCCTGCTTCTCCCTCTGCTTGTGTCTCTGCCTCTCTTTCTGTGTCTCTCATGAATAAACAAATAAAATCTTTTTAAAAAAAGATCTATGTATATGGATGCACAGATTTCTGAATAATCATGGGTTTACTTCAAGGATATCCCTAAAAAATACTTTAAAATATGCATGGTCGGGATCCCTGGGTGGCGCAGCGGTTTGGCGCCTGCCTTTGGCCCAGGGCGCGATCCGAGAGATCCGGGATCGAATCCCACGTCGGGCTCCCGGTGCATGGAGCCTGCTTCTCCCTCTGCCTATGTCTCTGCCTCTCTCTCTCTGTGACTATCATAAATAAATAAAAATTTTAAAAAATTTTTTAAAAAATATGCATGGTCAACGAATGTATTCATTTACTTATATATCTAATATTTTACAGAATTGCTTCTATATACTAGGCAATATATGAGGCAGTGGGGATATTATGCTAAGTGGCAGATATTCCTACTCTAAAGATGGATGCATTCAACAAATATTTATGACGTTGTTATTATGTACTGGGCATATGTACTGGGCATATGTCTATGTCAGCATGAATTTTCAGCAAGGAACAATGCAACAAGGTGCCTGTCATCTTGGAGCTTATGTTCTAACACAGATGGACAATAAACCGACAGATAACAAAAATATCATGTAATCATAGGTGATCATAAATCCTGATAAAGAGTCTATCACTCAATGTCTAGAACAATGTTTGATTTATTGCTTGCTTAGGCAAGGGAGGGCTGAGTTTGGAAGACAGTTTATAAGCAAAAGAAAGTCTACATAGGGTTTTGGAAAAGTGTGAAGTGTAGAAGCTGGAGTGTTAACTTTAACTATAGAAATGTGTTTATCAGAGTAAGACTGTTTCTGACTGGCAGACTCTCAGAAATGTTCACTGGACTAAAGCTGTGGCTGATTACTTGATTTTACAAAATTGGACTGCAGGGAATGTTACTGAATTTTTTTTCATACATGTGTGTACTTTTGTAATCAATCACTGATTAAACAAGTTTAATACTGGTTTTGACTGTTGCTACGATGAACAATCAGTTGTTTCATGAAGAAAAATAATTCAGAATAAAGAAATAGAGAAAAAATGGAACTACTGTTGCATTTGAGCAGAGGAAGGGGAAAAAGGCAGCAATTCACTAGAACGTGTGGAAAAATGGAGTTCCAAGCAGATGGAAAAGTGAGTTCAAAGGCTCTGAGCCAAGAGCCTGCAGAGCAACTTTGAGAAATACAGGTAGCCTGTGCAACTGAGGTGTCAGTGGCCAGGGGCTAGATAATATAAAGTCTTGCAAGACAAAGTATGGAAGAGAAAATTAACCAAACCTGGCACATGATTGGATATGAGATGTACGGAATATTAATAACTCAAGGATAAGCCCCAGTCTCTGTTGTGGGAAGCTGAAGGAATGGCCATACCATTCATCATAGCTGGTACAATACAGTGTTACAGGTTTCATGACAAAAGAACATACATCAAGACACACAAAAAAGGGAAGCATTCAGTACATTTAGAGTGAGAGATTAGAACCCTTAGAGAGTAATGACGCATAAGATGAATGTGCCCCACTCCCCGTGGCCAGGTGGGGTCAAATCCAGGAAGTGTACCCCTAGGAGAACATCCCAAACCAAAAGCACAGTGCCTGGCTGGCTCAGTCAGAGGAGCATGTGATTCTTGATCTTGGGGTTGTGAGTTTGAGCCCCTGTTGTATATGGAGTTTACTTCTAAAACAAAAAAGCTATGCCGAGAGTACAGCACAAAGACATAGAAGTCAGAAACACTATAATTATCATCAAGAATGAGGA